AGCGGTTTTAGGACAGCCCCCATGTAAAGGTAGATCTGTACATAAGCGCATAGAAAAATAATTTATAACAAATAAGTAATGTCTATATATGTATATATTGTACACACGCATGAACTTGGGCTGTCGTAGAATCACTGAGGCTTCGATATAAGTTTACGGCACGTTGCAGCTGAGCAAGGGGTGCTTGATATCTAGTTGCGCAGAATAACCATTCGTTGAGGTGGGCGTTCAAAGCCAGGAGCCTGCACGCGAGATTGAAAACAAACGGTTAACCACTACTCGAGAAGTTGAACTGCAAGGTCTTTCTTTTATAGACCCACCCAAAATGGACCCTGATTTTCGGAAACAGCAGCAAAAAGAACCCTGATACAGTTTTCAACTTTGGGGTCAGGGCACTGCTACGAGCTTTGCTACAGGCTCCAAGCACTCCTGAGCTGGTGAGCCCTACATCCTAAACCACCCAGACATCAATAAGGCTGCCATAGTAAAATAGGGGCCTTAAACATTAAAACAAGGCTTTGGGGTATAGTATGCTGAAGATAGCTGACTATATTATGGTATGTGTAGTTATTTATAGGCCCCTATATTATAGCATGAACCGCTAAGCTGCAGTTCTATCTGCAGTGCTGAACTGATACAACCAATCTGCAGACGCCGGAGCCAAGACGGTAGCTGAGGGGGTTTAGGGTTTAGGGGTTTAGGGTTTAGAGGTTCGGTGTTTAGGGTTTAGGGGTTTGGGGGCGATGTAAAAAAAGTGCCTCAACAAATCGCCAGTTGTGTTCTTCCGCCGTGTAGGCTGTAAGATCAGTGTGTCTCATAGCTCCAACCGCGGTGCCGGAGGTATTCAGCTGAAGACGCCATGACCCCAACCTCAACGACACCTCGTAACCCCTTTTGTCGCCTCCTCTCTCAAGCTAGAATCGCCACTTGCACAGAACCTTTAAAGCCTAGACCCCCAACAAACCTAACCCCCAGACCCAAAGGCTTAATAAGGGTGCAAGCCATAGTAAGACCCATGCCGTCAAGATCTCGGTAGCTACATCCGTATTCCGAAGAAAGCCAATGACTTGGACGGTTATAATTACCCGAAACCCGTAACCCTATAAACCCCTGAACCCCAAACCCTTAACCGTACGAAACTGAAGCCTGGAGTCTTCGTACTACACTACTGCAACATATTCTGACGGTTTAGGGGTTTAGGGTTTAGGGTCCGACATGCAATCAGGCACCCTGCGCGACCCTAGAGCCGAAACCCTAAACCCTAAACCCTAAACCCTAAACGCTAAACCCTAAACCCTAAACCCTAAACCCTCAAAACCCAAAACCCTAAACTCTAGAGCGAAGGTCACAGGCTGCCGAGACACGAGGGTGGCTGCAAAGAAAACCATGAACCTTGTGGCCGCTCGAGATGGGGGGGGGGCCCGGGGGGTTTAGGGTTTAGGGTTCAGGGTTTAGGGTTTAGGGTTTAGGGTTTTTAGGGTTTAGGGTTTAGGGTTTAGAACCGATCAACCGCAGAAAGTAATACCCCAAAACCCTAAACCCCTAACCGCCCTAAACCCTAAAATGGAGGGCTAGTCTTCAACAGCTTACGCGCACTACACCAAACCCGACACCCTAAGCCGCCCTAAACCCTAAACTAGAGGGGTAGTCTTCCCTAAACCCTAAACCCTTAACCAGTGTTCCGTAAACCCTAAACCCTGAACCGTCTGCTTGCTGGCCCCTCACTTTAAAAGCTGCAAACGGCCTGTTAAGAGCTCCGAGGGTGTCATAGCCAGAGCGTGGGTTTCAGAAGAGGGTTTAGGGTTTTAGGGTTTAGGGGTTAGGGATTCAGGGTTTAGGGCTTTAGGGTCTAAGGGTTTAGGGCTTGAGGGTTTTAGGGTTTAAGGGTTTAGGGCTTGAGGGTTTGCGGGTTTAGGTTTTAGGGTTTAAGGTATCAGAGGGGACGCTAAACCTTAATCCGTAAACCCTAAACAGTTCAGGAGAAGTTTAGGGATTAGGGTTTCAGGATTTGGGGATGTAGGGGTTTACGGTTTAGGGACAGAGCAGGTAGCTGTAAACTACTCAGACCCACAACACCAAACTGAGCCCTCAACCCTAAACCCTAAACCAACTTGTGCATGTGGGAATTTCCAGGCTCACGGCCTGAATGCACGCAAGGATGCCCAAGTTCCATATAGGGGCCATAACACTTCGAATAGGGTTCTTGGGGTATAATATAGTAAAACCCAAACCCCAAACCCTAAACCCTAAATCCTAAACCCTGAACACCTAAACCCTAAACCCTACAATTTCAAGAAGGAACTCAGACCCTAAACCCTAAACCCCAAACACCTAAAACCTGAACCCTGAACACCTAAACCCTAAACCCTAAAAT